TTGCTAGCGGTAAGTTCTACCTACAGGTGCCAAAAGTTAGGTCAGGGTAGGTTCATTTGCTTGACGAATCGATACATTTTAGAGTTTTGAGTGCAAATACAATGATTTTTGATTCTAGGTATTACTAAATGGTAATATAGAAAGAGAAAAAGATATAACAACGTTTTGATTCTAGGTATTATCTTGACATTGATACATTAGTTACTATTATTTATCCAACGTTTATATGTTCTCCGTATCACATTTCATCTAGAGAAAAATAGCAGACACTAATATTGCAACTAAAGTACTTAAATGTTCATTGTTTTTGGGTGACGAAATAGTCAAAGGTTGTGGGACCGCAATACCCACATCATTATTCAAACTTTAATTTGACGATACAAAATGTTGTCACAAGGAGTGGCAGTCATCCTCGCCGACTATCATACATGTTATGATTAAAATCCTATTTCCCCCCAAAAACCTGCTCCTCTCATCTCATACAGATTCAATGTGAACCAACCTGCTTCTCACTGTCAGCAACTCAATAAAGTTATATCAATTAATTATGCACCCTCTTTGAAAATCCTTCTCCCCCTCACCTTCTTCTCAATCTATATCCACTAACTAACAAAATTCCACACTAACAAGTTGACCAACAACATGGAATAAAAACCAAACTTAGATTATTCAACATAGAATAAAAACCTCACACGGAGGTCTCTCCTTCCTCTTCTCTCTGAGAATTCTCACTCCAAAACCAGAAATGGAAGTTCTCTATCTGTTTCCACTGGTTGCATTTCTCATTCCTCAAATGGTTATTGGGAATGCGGAGCTTAGAGCTCTGATGGGGTTGAAGTCCTCTCTGGACCCGGAGGGCAAGATCCTTAGCTCGTGGATCAGTGATGGTGATCCATGCAGTGGTTTGTTCGAAGGGGTTGCGTGCAACCAGCATCGAAAAGTAGTCAACATCTCCTTGCAGGGAAAGGGTCTTTCAGGATGGCTCTCTCCAGCACTTGCTGAACTCAAATGCTTGTCAGGGTTATACTTGCATTACAACAACCTTTCTGGTGAGATACCACCACACTTTTCAAATCTTACTGATCTCCTTGAGCTCTATCTCAACGTCAACAGTTTATCTGGAACTATTCCTCCTGATCTCGGCAACATGGTTAGTCTCCAAGGTAACTAAATACAATATAATCTATTGGTATCAAGTTTCCTCGGTGAGTTAATGATACAAGATAAGTTGTTACTTGTTAGTTTAAGAATATGTTTGAATACAACTTTAGAAGTGTTTTTGAAAGTTTATCTAAAAAAAATAAAAAGTTTTTGTTTTCAGTAGAGTATCTCGAAAGCTCTTATATATTTGTACCCAAGTAAACCTTTTTTATTTTGATGAACAAGATACCTCTATTGCTGCATATCAATTGAAGAATTGGCTTAGATCATATCAGTTAGCTGCTAAATGCTAATCGCTGGTGGTAATTATGTAAGTTGCTTGAAGTGAACCCAATTAATAGGTCTGTGTGCTTTCTTTGTTAGTGCTGCAGTTGGGAGATAACCAGTTGGTGGGAAATATACCTACACAGATAGGTTCTTTGAAGCAGCTTAGTACTCTTGCTTTGCAATATAACAAGTTTACTGGTCAAGTTCCTCTTAGCTTGGGGAACTTGGAGAAGCTAAGCAGGCTAAATTTGAGCTTCAACAATTTTAGTGGTACAATTCCGGCAACACTAGCACATATTCAACATTTGGAAGTTCTAGACATTCAGAACAATTCTTTATCAGGGATTGTTCCTTCGGGTATGCCTCTATCCTCCTTTCTTTGCAGCAAAATTTACTTATTTTCCTAGCATTTCTCTTTGTATATTTTAGGCACTGTTTATACTGATTAAAGTTTTAAAAATGAAAATGAAGCATTGAAGAGACTTGGGGAAGGATTCCAAGGTGCAAACAACCCGGGTTTATGTGGTGTTGGATTTTCTACTCTGAGAGCTTGCAACAAAGATCAAAATTTAAACGTTAACCATATTGATACATCAGATGGAGACCAACCCAAAAGTAGTAATTCTTCAAAGGCTCTCCCAGAGCCAGCAAATGTTCAGTTGCATTGTGATCAGACCCATTGTTCAAAATCAAAGAGGTTTCCTCAAACTGTCATCACAGCAGGGGCTATAATCATTACTCTCACATTCATATGTGCTGGTTTTTTGACATTCTTCAGATACCGCCGTCAAAAGCAGAGGATTGGTAATACCTCAAGTTCTTCTTGTGAAGGGAAACTTAGTTCTGATCAGCCTAAAGAGTTCTACACAAAAAGTCCATCTGCACTCGTTAATATCGAGTATTATAGTGGATGGGATCCATTGTCTAATGGTCAAAATGCTGATGCTGGTCGGTTATCCAATGAGTATCTAAATCAATTTAGGTTTAATGTGGATGAGGTTGAATCTGCAACACAGTACCTCTCGGAAGCCAATTTACTTGGTAAGAGCAAATTCTCAGCAGTTTATAAAGGAGTTCTCAGAGATGGTTCTCTTGTGGCTATTAGAAGCATCAGTGTGACATGCTGCAAAACCGAGGAAGCTGAATTTGTAAAGGGGTTGAACTTATTAACCTCTCTGAGACATGAAAATCTTGTTAGACTGAGAGGTTTTTGTTGCTCGAGGAGTAGAGGTGAATGTTTCCTTGTCTATGACTTTGCCACCATGGGTAACCTGTCTAAATATATTGACATAGAAGATGGAAGTGACCATGTACTTGAGTGGTCCAAGAGAGTTTCTATCATCAAGGGTATTGCAAAGGGTTAGTTGTTCCTAATTACCTACCTATTCAGTAGAACTTAAATGCAATATCACATGTGGTATTCGTGTTGTTATCTAATCAAAATCAGTATTTCATCTCATTAATTGCAGCCAATTTTAGTCACTAAAATGAAAGCTATAGTTATAAGATGAAATGACGATTTTGATCTCAATAATTGCAGCCAATTTTAGCTCCTAAAATGAAAGCAACATTTGTAAGACGAAATGACGATTTTGATCGCAGAACAATTCTATCAATACTGTCTATATCTAGACTTTTCCCTTATCAGTTTTCTGTATTTTTATTTTCTTTTTTTAACTATGTTATTAGTACAAAATACTCACCAATTTTATTAATAACTAATTTATGTTAGAAAATTTGACTGATTATTTTTAGTAGTCCTCTTAATTACATTTTTTTTCATTCACAAAATTTGAATCCAAAATCTTGTTTAAAAAAATTGAGTTCACTACTATAGGAACCAAAAAGAAACATATGGTACAACATATGGTACAGCAGAAAATTTTCCAGCCAAAAAGAAAATTCCGCCAATCCTTTCTGCAAATGAATTAGAACAGACAAAAAACTCCAGCAATAATCATTTTGCAGTATGGACATTGGAGGAGACTAATAATACAATGTAATTATTCAAACAATCGAGAATCTTAGAATTCTTAAATTCAGGAAAAACTGAATGACATGCTGCATCAGATATTTATAACTGTAGATATATCTGCTTCTTTTTGTTTAATATCTGCTATTTATTTATGAGCAGGTATTGGATATCTGCATAGCAATGAAGCAAGCAAACCTACAATAGTTCACCAGAATATTTCAGTAGAAAATGTTCTCCTTGACCACCAGTTCAACCCATTGATCATGGATGCAGGATTACCTAAGATTCTTGCAGATGATGTTGTTTTCTCAGCTCTAAAAGTAAGTGCTGCAATGGGATACTTAGCTCCCGAATATATTACTACTGGACGGTTCACTGAGAAGAGTGACATATACGCATTTGGAGTTATTATTCTTCAAGTTCTATCTGGCAAGACGACAATTGGTAGTTCAATACGGATGGCAATTGAGTCTCTAAGATTTGATGATTGTGTTGACACAAACCTTAAGGGAAGATATTCTAAATTTGAAGCAGCAACGCTTTCAAAGCTTGCAATGCAGTGTACGCATGAGCTTCCTGACCAAAGACCAACCATGGTGAATGTGATTCAGGAGCTTAACGTGTTTTCTGTTCATTTATAATCATCTACTACTTTCTACTGGTATTAGGGGACGTTTAAACATTTCCTCATAGTTGGGTTTCATACATGATTTATTTCCATGAGCATATATATAGTTATCTAAACTAGCCATTGCCAAATAATTGTGGATCTAAATGGACCCGTGTCCTGTTTTTACGAACTGGTATAGTTGAAGGATGTTCTTTATTCAGTTTATTGTAAATTAAAGGGTTTCCTGAGATAATGATCTGAGAGCACAACTTGGTTTATTGTTGAATAGCTTGAAAGACATTTTCTTCAAGATGCTGCGAGAAACTTGGTTTACACTTTACAGTGAGCTATGTCTAGATAGACACAAACTTGTATAAGTGAGGAATATAAAAACATAAAATGTTTGTCTATGTTCCTGCAAGAACAGATAGGAAAACACGGATTTGGATTTTCCCACATGACCTATCTATTATATTATTTTACATCCCATTTTGTTATGGATTTATTTATACTTCTGGTCTTCTTTTTTCTAATTACACAAATATAATTCTCTAATTTTTAAAATTTAGAGATTTTACCATCCATAGTCAAACATCAACCGCTAATGTAACTCACTAGTGATGAAGTAAGAATGGTGGTGATTATGTAAATTAATCAATGTTATACAGCTTTTCGGCTGCATTATCATTCGATAAAACCCAAGCCCAACACATGAATCAACTGACACCTTATTATTTTAGTTTAATCAACAATCTGGAGTGAAATCATGAACATAAAACTAGTTTAAATACTCAAAAAGAAAATTGTCACCCAAAAGAAAATACTCAACAAGAAAATTAAGAAAATTGTCACCATTGATAGTTATATGACTTTTATCTTCCTCAAACAAAATTATCTCCCATACATATCATTTTCATGTATAAAAAAATGCACAATTTTTTAGGTTTGCAATGGTTGGAACAATTGTCATTGTTTTGCACACGTAAAAAGAGAGTATAGCATGATTCATTCCTAATTTGTGAAAGACAAAATTGTTTTATGGAAAGAGTTCTGTGGAGGAAAAATGGTACACACTACCGTTACTACAATAAAATAAAACTCATTCCGCAAGAAAATCCACAAATTGGAAGCATATTAGTATTATATTAACGCCCCATTTACAAATTTATTCATTCACCTACAAAATTGTTCATAAATACTTGCCCTTTGAACGGCATTGAGAATCCTAGGCAAAAGCAGCATGCTGTCCATGATCCTGAAGCCATTCAGAAGGCCACCAATCTGGTCTACTGGCGACAACCTTCACATCCTCTTGTCCCTGAATGCACAAAGCACTCGACCCCTTTAAAGCTTCCTCAAGTCGCAAGAGCCCCAGCCCACGACATCCTAGGGCAGTAGTCACTATGCCAGCTTTTTTGCCGGATGCAGTGTTCATTACTTCTGAGCCTGGAACAACTTTGTTTACTAACTCTGGAATAGCAAAAAAGGAATGGCTCAGTTACATCACTATCATTATATAATATATAATACTAAAGAAGCCACATACTCCTTAGAGGAGCATATTACCTTTCCCATCATTATCGAGAAATCTTAGAGGAATTATCCGCTTTCTAATCACCCCCCTGTGATGGGTACGGGCTATGAGTTCTTGACCGACATAACAACCTTTGTCAAAGCTAATTGCATTTAGACCTGCAAGATTATACTCAAGCGGTACTGCCTCACCTGGACATGATCAATTAATCAAGATATTTGAGACAACTCACCGAAAGATCTCTTCTCAGTAAGAGCTTTTTACAAGGAAACAAACATGCACCTTTTGGAATCTCGGTTGATCCTTCTGCTACTCCCTTCTCTATTCTCCATAGAAGGAAATTCTGTTCATCAGTCTCTTTATCAACCTCAATTAGAGGTGCTGAAACACGTAGAGATGAGGGAGACTCTTTCAGGACTAAAGATCCAAAGTTTTGTCACAATAATGTAAAAGATTGCAACAATAAATATTAGACACAAATTTTATTAGCAGCCAAAGAATAGATAACTAACGAGTTATATTTGATGGGAAGATTCCTCGAAAACCAAGAGAGACCAATCTGGGATCCTTAAACCATTGCCACCCATGATCACTCCCATGTGAAGAAGACATTGCAGTACGATCCAAACCAGCACCCCAGCCAACAGAGGCTGCTTCTGGTTCTTCTACTTGTGAGGACTTCTCAGGAAGGCCAGCACCATATCGCTGCCAGCACGAGAAATCTCTGGAGACATCATCAATCTCAACCTTTGACCTCAACCTGTATCTGTAGCACTAAAATGTTAATGTCTCCGCTCAGAAATAAAAACCAATAAAACAAGAGTAGGAAGAAGATTAACTTCAATTAAAAAGCACAAGCAACGAACTGGCTTGCTCTGATCACATCAAAAAACAAGATGCCTAGGCAAGCCAAACAATCTACTCTGTGTAGGCTAACGGTTGGTTAATCAGACTTTATAACATGCATATGCAGCGTAACATGACCACGCTTAGAGAGACAAATAGATGTTCCTGGTGCAAGGGAAATCTTTCTATACCATTTAATGTCTAACGGCTGTAACTTCAAGGCAACTGCTGGGCACTAGTTAAAGGAAATACAAGCAGAGCATTTATTATATTGTAAATACAAAAATCATTCTTCCATGCTTGCTTCGTAATTGAAAGTCTTTAATAGAGTGCATGCCATTCTATATTGAGTGTTCCCAGTGCATTCCTAACTTGAAACATGATATTAAAGTAGAAGATAATGACTGTCCCCAAGTTGAGATGTTAGACATTGAGCTTGTTTAGAAGAGATTTTGAACTTCTCTGTGGGGGAAAAAAAGCACTTTATTTCCAGTTGGTTGAGTAGCTCTCAAAATTAACTCTTTAATTTCAATTGAATAGCTCTCAAAATGCCTTCTAAGCTTGTATTTGATTATTTTTTAGCAACTCTAATATTATCCTCAAAAAACTAATCACCAAAATAGTTTATTGACAAAGGTGAAGTTGAGGAAGTAAGTCAGAATAGAAGTAATGGGACGAAAAGAATGAATGGAAGAGTGAACTGACTTGTTGAAGGTTTGCAACAACTCATCCAAGATAGAAGCATCGACGTCAGCAAACAAATGAAAGGGTTGATCGGTGTGGGAGTGAGGGCCAGAGCCAGTGTGATCGAGCATGGTGTCGCACGTGGGAGGCTTATAGAGAAGGAGGTCGTAGAGGAATCTCCCTTGAGGAGTCAACAGCGCAGCATAAATAGGAGGAACCGAGGTGGCAGGGACGTTGGGTGTGGGCAAGTTTTCGGTTTTGTCACCAATGGATTCACCCAACCTCCATACATCGTTGGTCAACAGGCCCTGGAGGAACTTGAGGGTGTCAGGCCCGCGGAACCGTATAACGGAGCGGGACTTGAGGAGAGAGGCTACGGGCCCAGCGCTTTGGACCTGGCTTTCGCAACGGTTACTGAATTGCTTCCATCTGAAACGGTGGGCAATGGATTTGGGCAATGCTACGCGATTCATGGCTAGTGCTGCTTTGGGGAAAGATGGAGAAGAAGAAAATAGAGAATACGTTGGGAAGGTTTGGATGCGTGGCTAGTTGGCGGGTTGACACGTTGTTAGAGATGGATAGGTGTTCGATGAAAGACGTGTGAGGGGATCCACATCCACTCGTCCGCTCCTCGCTACTCAACTTCGCCACGCTTGCATTCTTTTTTTGCGTGGCGCGCTACACTTTTTATTTATTTTTTTCCCCCTGTAACTATGTAGATTCTCCTAGATGACTATGCTGTTGGTTATCTCAATTTTGCTCTTTGGCGTTGTAAGAGCGGTCAGTAGTGCACAAGATGATCAGGCCCACAGAGTCTGGTCAGGCCGGCCCAATAGTAGGTCACACTTTAAGTCCAATATCATAAAAAAATATTCTATGCAACTCCTCCATTGTGGCCCAAGGGTTCTCTGATAAAAATGCATGGTGCTTTAAATTCACGGGAAAAGTACAATTTGCTGATCCTGCTGTATTGGTGGACGTGCCCTTTGAAACTCCCTCGTGTCGTGTACCCTATTCATCACGCGGCTACAAACACGACATTATCAGATTCTCAATTGTGTTAATATTCTAGTTGAACATATGGGTCTAAGCTGCTTAATTGTAAACTCTAATAACTTTACAGTTATGTAGATAGCCATATTTTGAATGTAAATCAAACTTCAGGTTAGGTGAAGTTGAGTGATTGACTCGATTTCGTTTCAGCTTACGATATCCATTTAAGAAGAAAATGATTGCTCGTATATGAATAACAAATGCAGACAATATACGGCGTAAGGATATGAAATAAAATTGCTAAAATAATGACAAAAATAACTGTATTAGCTTGAGAATCAAGTTGAGATACAGCACACGTTGAAAAAAAAAACAAAATTGTTGAGATGTCGTGGGTATCTTGTACTTTGTACCCTTTCCACCTGCCTCCTTGGCTGCTTATTTATTCATATTATTATATTTGATGGACTCCACATTTCCATGAAGCTTGTTGTAACGAGCACAACTCCTTAAACTATTTGTGATTTTGAGAATTCCGAAGAAAACAAAGTTGTATCTTTACATTTGAGTAAATCATTATATCAATCCTTGAAATTATAATCATCAATAATTTTACTTGTTAAAATTGTGGGGAAAAAATGTCAATAGTTGATCATTAACTTTAGCAACAAAAACTTATTTTTGGTTTTTAAATTTAGTGTGCGTTGATCAATTTAGTCCCTGACTTTTGTGTATTAATCAATTTTATTTTTAATGTTAAAAAGACCAAATTAATGGCTAATGGTTATTAAAACCAAGGATCAAATTGATAATAGTACTAAATTAATTGATTTATTGTAATACTTGAAACTGAATTTATTGGTGGAGTTTATTTCATGAACTAAATTTATTGACAATAGCGAAAGTGAGGCATGGACTAAATTTTTAGCGGGTTGTAGATTTTTAAAATCTAATTTGGTGTGTTGCTGTTTAGTTATCATCAGTTATAAATTTTGGCTTCTTGATAATTACTTGGTTTAGCAAGGGGATCAATTTGATTGAGGTCATGGGTTTAAGTATCCCTAGTGAGTGAGTAACTGTGAAGGATAGTCTTAAGTCTTAACATCTCATTACATTATGTCTTTAATGAATCAATACAGCCTCATAAGTTGGATTTAATTAGTATTGAAAATCCAACAAATAAACCCGTTTTAATTAATATCTAAAATAATGCTGTCAAAAAAATATCTAAAATTATAAGCATTTTGCGAATTCTGATCTTATGAAACTTATTTTAATTTCTAACTTCATTATATGTCATCGTTTTTTTTTTCCTTTTTAAATAACAACGTTCACTATGCTACTTAATATCAATGAAAGACATAATTTTGGTATTGTTTTATTTTTGCAAGTTCTTTGTTATTGGATACTTGCGATTCATTTGTCAAAGATGCTTTTAGAATTTTGAGAAAATTACATGTACTGGTATGTGCTCCAGCTTGATAAAGTCAACCATTAATTAGAGTTACTATAAGAGCATCTACAATGGGAGTTGCTTATAAGCAACTCCCAACCACTTTAAATAAGTCTTACTGTGCCACATCACTCATAAGCAACTCATACTATATTTTTACAACTTTTGCTCCGATGCAAATTGCTTATAAGCACCTCAACTTTTTTATAACTCATACTACACTTTTTGACACCTCACATTATATTTTATAAAAAAAATTTATAAAATTAATTATTATAAATAATATATAAATATGAATAACTAATAATTGAAACAAATTACATAATTAAAAAATTGTAATAATAAAAAAAATTACATAATAAAAAAAATAAAAAATTTTAATAATAAAAACAACTCTACGTGAATATCACAAATAAAAAAAAATATTACATAATAATAAAAATACCAAAAGTATTCCATTCACTCTCCCTGCACTCTCTCTTCTCCGACCGGCACTCTCTCTTCACTCTCTCTTCTCCGACCGGCGCGCGGAGGTGTTGATCTTTCGGAGGGGTCGCGCGTGGAAGGGTCGCACGCGGAGGGTCGCGACCGGAGGTGGTCGCACGCGGGGCGGAGGGGTTCGGCTAGGGGCTTCTGGCGCTCGCGGGGCAAAGGTGGTTCCCGCGCCGGCGGCGGGTCTGGCTATATGGAGTCGCGCGCTCGTGGCGGAGGGGTCTGGCCGCACGGAGGAGATGAACGTGCTGACTGGGTCGCGCG